ACACCCCCCGCACCACCCGCCACACGCAGCTCACAGTTCAGCTGTTTCATCGCCTGGACACAGTTCAGAACAGTGTATTTCCACTGTTGTCAGTTTCCACCATGCCACAGTCACCCAAAACTAATTCAGCAATCATCCACAGTTTCCAGGTATTCTATTTCCACCCTATTCTTCCATCCTCAATCCAATCGAGGAGATTTTCAGAGCACAGTGCTGGAAGGGTTTTAATGGCAGCCCTCTCCAGAAACTGACATGTCACTAGGCAGGCTGTCAGAAAACGGCGCTCAGGCATGGCTGGGTTCAATGCACTATGGCAGCAGATTTTTTTTTACCCTCTGTCTTGCTCCAGGAATTAGCTGCCATACGCTGAAATATATGAGGCCAGGCATAAGAGAAAGAGAACAATGTTGCAGTTTCTTTCCTTCGTCATGGCTGATCGCTGTTTCTTTTTCCCTTTGTATGATAATACATGATAGATTGATTCTCTGAGTGTTGCTTTGCTACCAGAAACTTGGTTTACACTCTAGCGTGCTATTTATTCCTTTTCCATATTAAATAAAAATCCAAGGGGTCGATGTGGACAAAGTGGAGAACTATAAATACCTTGTATACATTGACAACAAACTGAACTGGGTTGAAAACACAACTGCACTGTGTAAGAAGGGCCAGAGCCGTCTCTATTTTCTGAGGCAGTTGAGGTCTTTTAACATCTGTCAGACAATGCTCAGGATCAGTCTGATGTGGCCAGTGCCATACTCTATGCCCCTATTATTCAAATCACGGTCCTCGAGGTCCGAGCACTGCTGGTTTTCCAGCCTTCCTTTGCTTGTCAGTCAGGTGTGAAGCCACTGACCAATCAAAATCAGTAATTATTAAACAACTACCTGGGAGAACTGAAAACAAGGCCTGGATTTGGAATCGAGGTCCAGATTTGAAGAGCCCTTCTCTATGCTGTTGCATGCTGTGGCAGTAGGCTGGGAGTAGCGGATGGCAACAGCCTCAACAAACTGATCCGGAAAGCCAGTAATGTTGTGGGGATGGAGTGGCTGGACTCTCTAAAGGTGGTGTCGGAGAAACAGATTTTGTCCAAGTTCAGGACAATGCTGGACAATACCTCCCACCCACTCCATGATGTGCTGGCTAGTCACAGGAGCACGTTCGGTGAGAGGCTACGATTACCCAAATGCACCACTGAATGACACAGGAAATAAATTCCTGCCTATCTGTACAACTCCTCCATCTAAGCACAGGTATATACACTGTACTGCAGCAACTGTATTTACACCATTAACATAACAAGGCAGTATGATGAGGGGAACCTCAATTCAATTTTACCTTTAGTTAATTATATATATATATATATATATATATATATATATATATTACACACACACACACACACACACACATATTATTAGAAATATTGTAATATTTGTAATTTGTAATATCTTGTATTGGTATTTTAACTTGTTGACTATTTTCTTACTGTCCTGGAGCAACTGTAACCATATAATTTCCTTAGGGATTAATAAAGCATTTTGATTGATTGATGAAATAGTATGTGTCTTTTTGTATAAAATATAGTCTATGCAGAGTTATACAAAACTAAAGTAGATAAATTATAATGCTCATATTTTGCATTTATTACAGCTCTGTATAAGTGTTTGTTCAGTGTTAGATGTCAA